GTGTCGCGGTACTATTCTCGGAGCTCAGCTCCACACAAACACTAATTGGTTTTCGCATCTGAAAGGTTGTTCATCACTTTGTCATTTCTAAATTTAACATGATGTGATCCATGCACAATATGGGGGATTGCAGACCCCGTGGGAGGGGCAATACCACATGTCAAGTTTCTAAATATATCGGTACACAAAATATTTTAAAAGAGGCAGCACTTCAAGAATGGATTCCTTAATCCCAGATTTTACTTGATTTATGAGTTCGGTTAGAATAAGCGATTTCCATCAAAATTAGCAATTTCCTGTTTTCCATGAAGGAAAGAGCTGACACAACTTCCCACCTTGAAATTCATTTTACACAGGAAAAAAAAGAACAACAATAACTAAAAACAAGTATGCATAAAACAATGGAGACCTACACTAAAGCAAGGGTCACCAAATTCCAATCTCTTGGCAATTGACGTCATGACCATAAATGTATGTAATTGAGTGATTTAATACATTGGTCAGAGGCCCAGCTCTGTATGTTAGTAGGTACCACATGCCAAGCCTTGTACACATTTTTTTCCAGAACCACAGTGATCACACACACACACACACACTTATACTTTCTGTGTAATTGGGTGCGTTAGGAAGCCCAGTGCTAAGGCTTGAATAGCAGGAGGACTCAATCATCCTGTAGACCTGACCTTCTTCATCAGTATGTGATGTTGGCAAAGTGTCCTCCTCCATTTGTGCCCATGGGTTCATCCCCTTCCCACAGAGAGGTCCACAGGTTATAGCCCACCCCTCTCTTTAAGCTTCACCTGCTTTGCTGTCTTGGAGTTACCTAGAACCTTCAGGTTTTCTGAAAACCAGATGCCACCCTGATGGGCTTTAGTTGGACCCAGGCACTGGTCCTTTGTGAGCTTCACAGATGATTCTTGCATCAAGTTGATAACTACTCTGGGCAGCTAACCACATGGTCCTGCTGGCCTAAGACCATCCATTTCTGTGTCCTTTGGCTCTTTCACTTTAAGAACTGACTGGATGCCTACCTCTCTTTCTCTGCTTTCATGAAAAAAAAAAAAAGCTGGAAAAACAGGCATGCAAGGAGCCCTTGAATCCATCCCTTGATCATCTTCCAGAACAAACTGGGAAAAGTCCAGAAATCACAAGCATTGGCAAAACATAACAAGCTTCTGGAACCAGCTGTCTCCCATGCTGGGGGAATTTAGCAAGCCCAGTGGAGGCTCCAATGGGAATCCAGCTCAGCCTCCTACTTGTTTCTCTTTCACTCGGGAGAGTTGCTTATACTTTCTGGGCCCTGGTTTCTTCATCTACAGAAACTGAAAGGTCTGCCTCTTGAAACTTAATTACATGAGTATTCAACGTGTTTAAAGCAGTGTCCAGAATTTCACAGGTGTTCTACGGTAGCAGGTGTTCAAACAGAACAATGAAGAATAACAGTGAGAGCCCATTCACCAATTCTGCTCTAAACTCAAGATGCTCGTCATAGATTGAGCCAATTTATCCCATTTCCATTCCTTATCTGCTATACAAATATTTGTTACATAATGGCCTTATGTCAATCAAACCACAAGATAGTTAGCTATAGTAATGCATAAAAAGACATGACTCTTCTCCTGATTCATTGTGTATTTTCACTAAATGCTTTACTAGAATATTTATATCATGGATCTTAAATAACTCACTTTGCTTACCAGGAGTGGGACAATCAATTAACTAATATCCAGTTCACTAATGCTGCAAATAGAGAACTAAGATGTTCAGAGAAATGTTCAGGGAGGAAAAAAAAATAAACCACCCTACCACCACAGCAGAGGGACAGAAAGTGGCAAAGAAGCTTCAGGGAACATGGAAGGGAGCTAGCTGCTCAGAGAACCAGACCAGGCTGTGCACGGAGGAGCCTCCTTAGCCTTTACTGTGTGAGAAGCTAAGTTCTCCCATCCAATTCACCCCACCCTTTGTGCTGCTGTGCACACAGTCCACTCATTCTCTGCGTGGCGAATTCTGATACATCTGCAATACAGATCTGTATTGTGTGTGTGCGTGTGTGCGTGCGTGCGTGTGTGTGTGTGTGTGTGTGCATGTGTGTGTCTGCTTGTATCTGGTAATCACTCACTGCTGTAATAGCAACCCTCCTTGATTCTACAGCTCATCCTCTGAGCTTCTGTCTCTGCTGGACAAACCTCATATGACTGTTGCAGAGATATCACCATCAGACAGCCCAGAGAATTGCTTGATAAAAACCACAAATGGGGGATATGAAACAGACACACAGCTAGAAGATGGTTATGTGTCTGAACCCAATTTAATCTTGGCCTGTGGGTCCTTATGAAGTTACACTGAAGATGGAAATCCAACAGAACAGTGTTGGCTATGCCTGGTTATTGAGGTTTAATAAGGATCAGGAGAAACAAATAGGCTGAATAGATGTTTAATCAGAGAGAAATAACTGCAAGCAAGACAGCTCCCAGTGGCCCCCTCCTCAGACATAGTTCCCCCAGGTAACTTCTGCCCCTGTCCCCACCCAATGGGCGTGGTCTGTGCCAGGGGTTGGACAAAGTGAATACCTCACTACAATTCCCCTTTTAGTCTAAAGAAAAAAAAAATTAGGCTTGATACAAAACTATATACAAAACAGTGAATAACAAGTGTGCTCTAAGGAAAAGTGAGAGATTACAAACTTAAGACTTTCACCTGGTTACCCATTACTCATACTTAATTCTAGGACATTCCTTAAATTACAGCTGTCGTAACTCAGCTGCTCATCTCTTCATGGCTGTTTCTGAAACTTGATGCAGCTGAAAAGTAATATTAGCAGTTTGTAGGCAGTGTCAGACCTATGCCAAACCCTTCCCCACCTTGGAGCTCTAGGGAGCTTTCTCAGTGGTAGGTAGTCTGCCTTGGGCATACACATCCCTGGGTCCATGTCCATAATCTGTTGACTCCCATAGGGGAGAGGGCCTTCCATCATTCCTTTCTGGAGGCACATTCCAGACTCCAGTGTTTCCATCAGGATCACAACTTTTTCCCTCCCAGTTCCAATTTAGAGCATGTGACCTGCCAACCTTGCTCGTGTGAGTGAACACTGACCTCACTGATTCTCCTCCCCCATGTGCTTAGTTAGACCAGCAACAGATGCTCCATTCACCTGGCAGATGCATTCCTTCTCACTGGTGATCAGGCTGTAAATGCTGCCTTTCCGCACAATGCTATTTTCATATCTAATAAATAACACCATTCTTGATCTGTGTCCTCCAGCCTGTGGCTTTATAGTTCTCTCTGATGGTGGCTAAATGCCGCTTGTTTCCTTGACACCGGGACTGTGTTCTGTGAATAGCTGTTGCCAGAGGCTGAGACATAAACAAAGGCTTGAGGCATGCAGTGAAGCCCCTGCCTTTGTTTGTGAGGAGAGCACAGCCCAGCTAGTATGTTCTAATGTGCATCTGAGGAGCCTGAGAATCACAGAGCAGATCTGGAACTGCTAAGTTCACCCAGAACCAGCCTATGGGCATCTGAGCTAGAAAAGTCTAGGTATGGCTGTCAGTGCTAAATTTTGAGATGGATGTTGTACAGACATTGTAATGACTAATGTATATCTCCCAGAATCTACCATAAGGCTCAGCATAAAACATCTGCCTCTAGGGAACTGGGCCATGTGAATGGGAGACGTCACTAAGAGGTTTACTGATCAGTGTGTTTCCTCTCATGAAGTTCAGATAACATAAAATTAACAATTTTAAAATGAAAACCTCAGTGCTATTTACTGCATTAACAATGTCTTTATAAGGAGCACCTGTAACTCTCAAATTCCATGATCCAAAACAGAAATAATACCCATTAAGAAGTTCCTCCAAACACCTCTCATGTCAATTCTTGCCAACATCAATCTGTTCATGATGTTTCTTTTTCAGCTGTTGATATGTCTCTCCTCAAATTTATATGCTGAAGCTCCAACATCTCACATGGCTGCACTGAAAACAGGGTCTCTCGCGGAGATAATTAAAATGAGCTAGTTCTGAGGGTAGAGTATCAAGCCAGGAGTGATGGTCTTTATAGGAATGTGATGATTGTCCTATGTTCTTCTACTCTAGAGGACCAGAACCCAGTCATCCTGGCACAACGACATCAGGTTTCTCACCTGCACACCTGTAAGGAAATATGCCCAGCTATTAAAGTGTGTGTGTGTGTGTGTGTGTGTGTGTGAGAGAGAGAGAGAGAGAGAGAGAGAGAGAGAGAGAGAGAGAGAGAGAGAGAGAGAGAGGGGAAGAGAGAGAATAGCACACCTTAGGTATTCTGAAACCTGTCCTCTCTGGATCCTCATATTATTGAGGTCATATAAAACAGGGACTCCATAGATACGTTTTCAAGGTTTACCCATAGTTTATTTCTTTTAATGCCTGAATAATGCCATATTGCATGGTGCACCCATCCATTCACCCCCTTCACCCACGCAGACACACACAGTTGCCTCTCCATCCTTTGACAGACACCTGAGCTGTTTCCACTTTTCGGTTATTGTGAACAAGTTTGCTATATACAAACACCTGTGTACAAGGTTTGTTTGGATGTCTGTTTCAGGTGTTGTAGGGTGTATCCCAGCAGGGGAAATGCTGAGTTGGGAAGATTGGCTGGCATAAGTCTGGATGTTTGGTACTATACAACCAAGACTGATTCCAGGTTCAAACAAAGGAATCCTTCCTTGAATTCCACAAAGCCACCCCAAAAAAGTTCAATAATTTAGAATACGTCATCACTTTACAACAGACATTTCTCCAGGTTCCAGAGCTCACTGCTGTTACTGATGTTACAGAAGGCCCTACACTGAAGAAGGCTGAAAGTTTACAATTTTGTTCACAATATAAGAAAATCAAAATTTTCTTCAGTGTTTTCTAGAGGGCCATCCAGGCTCCTCCTGAGAGCCTTCATCAAGGTGACGGTCTTGAATAGGAACTGAAATCTGGATTCACAGTAAGACCCCTGCTGAGAATATCACTCACCTCTGGGACCAGGCATCATAGGACCTTGCATTCAGGGCGTATTCCAACTCAAATCGGCTCCTTAAAGCTGCCACATGGCTCCGGCCAGGCCCTCCCCGGCTCACCAGGCAGTCAGAGGATGAGGAGGGTGACAGAGAACCGCTACTGTTACTTGAGGCAGGAGACATAAGCTGGGTAGAGAAGGCATGGAAGGCCTTGTTTACTAATGCCAACAGGCACCTGTACTGGAACTTTCTATTTGAACGCTTCATCTGGCTGATTCTCATTAACCTATATTTGCTTCTGGCTTTCCATTCAACTTCTGGTGATAAAACCTGCTTAGCTTGACCTACTTGTTGACCCATTTCTATTTTGACAGATGACATCTTTACTTCTATCATACCCTGAACACAGTAAGCCCAAATAAAATTTATAAAAATGTTATTTAAGTGGTTATTATCTGATGATCAAAAGATTCGCCACATTCTTCACTGTGGTGATAAGATTCATGGCAGAGCTCCTTTCATTTGTAGCTACAGCTTTTCCCATGATATAAGATGGGTTCACATGCTTAGTTTCTTTTCCTTTTATTGTGATAAAATACTCTGACTAAAGCAACTTAAGGGAGAAAGATTTTGTCACAGTTCAAAACATAGTCCATCCGGGAAGGGGAGGGGGGAGGGGGAGGGTGGAATCAGGCAGCATGAGCTTGAAGCAGCTGAGAGATTGCATCCACAATCAGGAAGCAGCAATGATATATCCTGCTCAGCTCGCTTTCTCCCCCATGTACATTCAAGGATCTCAGTCCAGGGAATGGTTTCATCCACAATTAAAATGGGTTTTCCCATATCAATTAACATAAGCAAGGTAATCAATACAATCAGCCAGACATCCATTTCCCAAGTGACTTTAGGTTCTACCAACCTGACAATTGCAACCATCATACACACCTTTGTAAAAGGTGGATCCATTTTGCAAGATGGATCATGATTTGATATCTGATAAATGGGTTTAACAAAGAGAATAAAACTAATCTCCTGGACAACTGGTGGTCTAATGGATGTTTGGAAATAGCCCTTGGGCTCATGGTAATTTTCTCAACCTTCTGATAAAAATCCTGGCTCTTTCAAATGCTCTTCATGATATAGAATTTCAACAGACCCAGCATTCCAGTTGCTCTCCACAGTAAGACGCAGTTTTCACTATTGTTTAAAGACTAAGAGTTCAGTTGAGTCCTTTTGTTTGTTCATCTCAGAGCAGGAATAGTCAGTTCTTTTGTTCTACAACAAGAGAGCCTCCTCACGCCATAGCTGCATCTGAGCTTATTATAGCACGGACACAGTGATCCTGAAGCCATGTCACTAGTATGCCCTGTTATTATTGTTCCTATGGCTCTGGGAACCAAATTGATTTTTCCCTAGACATGTGCATTATTCCTTTACCAAGATATTCTAGATTCTTGCCTTCAAGTTTGTTCTAATACTCTCAACATTGTCACATTTGCCAATGTGACCAGCAGGTCCCTCTTGACCCTGGTGTCAGTCTGACTGAAAAATTAAAGAGCTGTGAGGAGGACAGGACTGTATGGGGTCCCACAAGCCTGGATGATTAATATGTGTTACCTGTTCTCTCTTATCTTTTCTCCTAGGGAAGAATGACCCCCAAGTCTTGATCAATGTGATCAAACAAACTTGTTTTCCAAAGCCTTTCATTGTCACGGTTTTGAGGTGTCTTATTTAGGATTTCTATTACTGCAAGGAAACATCAAAAAAAATTGGGGAGGAAAGGGTTTATTTGGCCTAAACTTCCAACTTGCTGTTAGTCATTGAAGGAAGTCAGGCAAGGAACACAAATAGGGCAGAAAGGTGGAGGCAGGGGCTGATGCAGAGGCCATGCATGGGTGCTGCTTATTGACTTGCTAATCTTGGCTTTCTCAGTCCGCTTTTGTATAGAGCCTAGGACCATCAGCCCAAGGATGGAACCATCCACAATGGGCCTGGCCTGGCCCACCAAACACCAATTAAGAAAATATCTTACAGTTGGATTTTATGGAGGCTGATTTCTCCATGTAAGTTCCTTTCAGATAACTCTAGTTGATATCAGATGAGCCAGCACAGAATTCCTGTTCTCATCTAATGATCTATAATCCTAGGTTAGGAACAACCTTGTCTGGTTGAACTCCAACATTTATGCAAGAGGATACTTGAAGCTCAGTCCCTGAAGGTGTCTTGTAACAACCAAGTCCTGTAGAAGATGCTCTTGTCAGTAGGCAATCCTGAAACCTGGGCAGCTACTCTCCCCATACTTATAACTTTCTGTATGCCAGAAGAAGGGTGCCTTCCTCTCCTTGAAAGGCTTCCTCTCTCTGAGTTTCTGTGAAGAATGAGCCAGAATGACTAGTGCCAGCCATCCTGGAAGTATTTCCCCATAGATCAGGTCCCTGGGACTCTTAGCCGAGATTTATTTTAAGGAAGGAAATGTTTCTTGTGGAACGTTCTTTCTGATGTTGTTGTGTAGGCTCAGGTAGATTGCCTCATTACTTCAGCCCCCTCTTCATGCCCATGGACCACAATCCTGTGTGAAGTCCCTACCCCCTCCTGTGCATTTGAAATATATTAGTTTTGAATGAGTGCTCCTGGCTTAGCTCTTTTGTCTATTTTTAAATGCTATTTCATGACCAGGTATATAGCAAATTAAGGCAATCATAGAGAAAATTAAAGCAAACAACTTCTTGATATTAAGGGAATGTTTTCCATTAGCCTGATCACTAGCATCTACTCTGTGTTTTTTGAAACCATGTCCTACAGTAGATTTGTACAGTTTGAGATGGTGTTTTCTTTTTAATTGAACACAAGTGGACAATGGCATATGTTTGTTGCATTTATACTTTTAAAGATTTGTTTTATTTCTCTCTGTGTGTGTGTGTTTGTGTTTGTGTGCGTGCGCGCGCGTGCCTGCATGCTAAGAGACCATAACTTTTCTTGTAGCTGGAGTTATAGAAAGTTTTGAGCCGACTGATATAGATGCTGGGATTCAGATTCCAGGGCTCTGATAGAGCAGTAACCATTCTTAGGTAATGAACTATCTCTACAGCTCCCATTCTTTCATGTTTTTTTTTTTTTTTTTTTTTTTTTTTACATAATATATTTTAAGCTCAGCATGACTGCAACCCATCTCTGGCCCTATTATTTTAGAGCCACCAAAATTCAATGTGAATTTCCTCTTCTCCAGAAGAAGGTGCAGAGACCATTTTTTTCTAGAGGCTTTGTCAGTAGGTTACACACCAACGGGCTACACAGCACAGCTTTACCTCTGCTCCCTGACAGCCTTTGCAACCTCTCTAGCAGTGATGAAGTCATTACAAAGATACTCTCATGCCATTCCTTTTGTCTACCAGACCCCTGAGGAAATGTACCCCAAGAAATTGGCATTTACTCAGGAATCTTATGTCCTGAAGAAAAAAATAATTCTGAAGCCTGGGATCAGCCAAGGAGGATCTTCAATTCCAAAAAGAGAAAGAGAGTTCAATACAATTCTGACAATTTGTAAGATTGCTTTGTAAGAGACTTGAATCTAGACAGTGATGATGGTTGGGAACCACATCTTGACCCAAGCTGGTGAGCTGGGAATATTTCTTACCCTGTGGTCTGTCCAGAACTTCATGTTAGGAACACCAGAAGAGCAACTAGGTGCATGTGTTCCTGGATCTCCTTCTTCCCAGAGGACCACTTTGAGCAGTTTCTCTCTCTTGCTGATATTTTTGTCCTTAGGGGCTGCTAGTGCCTCTAAGATGCAACGTCTGGCCCTTACAGCTCCTCCAGTTGACACCTGGAAGGCTTCAGGCATTTCTTAAACAGCCATTTCATAAGGTTGAATGCCTACCTCGACATTGCACAGACACTCCTCCAGTCTCCTCACAACTTCAGAAAACTCAGGTCTTCCCTGTAAAACAAGAAAAGGCTATTTTTCTCCCTTGAGAATGAAATAAAGGAAACTCTTTGGGTTTAAAAATTGAGTATTTGCATTTGTAAAGAATGAGATTAGCAATAAAATATATTTTTATTTAACATGCACTTGCATTGAAGAGCTAATTGAATGCTCATTTACTGTTCACGGAGGGATGTTGAGTTTCTGTGATAAGAGTTTTAAGTCAGAATTTGGAACTACATTCAGATAATGGAATAGTGGAAAATCTTTAATTAGCTTTGCATGTTTTTAAATGGCAGGGTTTCTTCTTAAAAATGAAAGAATGAACAAAAGTAGTAAAAAAAAAAAAATTAACTCTCTTGATGCCTTACAGTATGCTGTCCACATCCCCAGGGAAAGAATCCCTGGCTCTCATTTAATAATTAGCTTTATTTTCAGAAAGACATCTCAGATTTACAACTAAGACCAAGGTTGGAATCTCACTACTATGCCCTACTTTTGAGTTTAGACTTTTAGCTTCAAAAACTGCTATCGAAGATATTGCCTATTATGAACTCCAAAGTCATATAAGTTTAGTTCAGTGGTTATTGTGTCTTTCTATATTTCAGGCCTTGTTCAAGTTGCAAGGGATATAAAAATGAACAGAAAAAAGTTCTTGAAATCTTGGAAAACGTTGGCCTCCTCTAAAGAAATAATATGTTTCCATGCGTGGGGTTCTAAGGAGTGTGCACAGCACCACTTCTGCCTTTATGAGCGCTTCGCTGCCAGGAGGGGAGAGGCCGATTGAATGTGCAGGCTCAGCAGCCAGCTAATTTAGAATCCTCGCAGAACAATCTTTCCCTCTCTGTCTATTCCTCCCCCGAGGACACTGCTCGCTTCAGAGCCCTCACTAGTGGGAGCTGCTCTGTGTAGCAGCTCTGCTGCTCGGAGTCAGTGGGACTGCGGTGGGGTGGCTGGCCAGCTGGGTCTTCTTTGCTGCTGTGTGTCTACGATGCAACCATTTGTCCCTTCAGTGCACCATGCTGTCACCCCTTATGCAGAGTCAGTCTGCTTTCCTTGAAGTTTTCATGAGTGCTCACAGTCGCGCTGTCCACTCTCCGTACCCGTAGAAGGTGTACTTGCAGAAAGACCCCCGCATCCAGGCCTCCCCTGGTTGGTTGGTCCACTCCATTCACCCGCCCCTCACTCTGGGGCCCCCTATGAGTCCCATAAAGAGCTCCCTGGGTCCTTTCCTGTTCTCCATCCTCCTCCATCACGACACAGTGCTCTACACCATCCTTTGTGTGCTTTTAGAATTTTATTTGGAGAACTTAAACTCCAGCACTCTTGGATACCATGGGTCTCCAAAGTCATCTTACCAGGAAAAACAAAACCTTTTTATTGAGACATCTTTGAATTGGTTCTCGGACACCACAGCGTCCACCTAATTCACCCTTTCTGTATCCTCCTCTTACATACTTCCCCCATTCCTGTCATACTTGTGTATCTCACCACAGTCACTTCTTCTCGTCAATCTCATCCACAAAGCCCCAGCTTCCTTATTCTCCCTTGTCTTTGAATTATCCTCGGGAAGATGCCAACCTTTTTAAAATCCATACTGACTAGCCTTAACACTGACAATTTAACCCCAGCTGGCCTCCTGCACTGATGAACAACCCTCATTCTTACTTCTCTCCTGTGCTTTGTAACGTCTTGCAAACTCTTCCCAATTCTCTAGCTCCCAGGATGACATCTCCCTCCTACCTATTTCTACCTACACATAGCCTCCCTCCTGTTTTGTTCTCAAGGAGAGAATGGACTTGCCCGCTTCTACTTGAAGCTAGCTTTTTCATTTGCGTGCTCTGCCAGTACCTCTCCCCACTATTGGTTTCGCCTGTCAGTATTCTGTCAGGAATATTGCTTATTCCGACTGGCCCACAGATGCATGGTGGATTCTCCTATTTAAAACCAAGCAACAAAATAAAAACCGTATGTGGACCCTTTCAAGGATCCACTCTGTTTGTCTCCCTCCTCATCGGGACCATCAGCCCAGCAGTAACAAGACGAAGACTTCCTATATTAGGAAAGATTGGTCTTAGCTTAGGCTTGCTCCCAACTATCTCTTATAACTTAATATGCTTCTATTAATGGACTTTCTTCCATGTGGCCTCATTCTATACATCCCCTGGTATCTCCTGCATGCCTAATTTTTTCTTCCCTGGTTCCCTTCTCTGTCCAGAAGTCCTGCCTATACCTCCTGCCTAGCTATTGGCCATTTGGATTTGTATTACACCAATCCCAGCAATACATCTTCACATAGTGAACAAACGTCCCACACACAGCTCACACTTACCCCAAAGATGTCCTGAGAATTATCCTACCTTGCTATCTTTAAACACTCCACACCTCCACCCCATTCATGCTTATTCCTTCCAACATCTTACTAGAACTGTTCTTAGAGGAGAACAAACATCCCCCCCCTTTGCTAAACTCAATGGTAAGTTTCAACATTCATCCTATTTGCTACAGCATTAAATGCATCCCTTTCAGTTGACTTTGAAGACATCATTGTCTCGGGCTTTGGTTCCTTGGTCCTCTTCCTTCTCTCTAAATCTTGAATTTCCTCAGGACAATTCTATTTTGAGACAATTCATTGATGAATTGGCAGCCTTGTGTCTGTAACGAACATCTCCCAGCTTTCCACTTCTAGGTACTACTTCTGAGTTTGAGTTCACATTTCAGTCAATGACAGCCATCTCTACCCACTGAGAACCTAAAGAAGAGAATGGCCTTTGACTTCGTTCTTTACTGTGTTTGCATCCAGTACACTGTGGTGATATATTGTTTATGATCTAATAAAGCCAGTGAAGGTCAGAAAGACAAAGCAGCCAGTCAATAGCTCTTACCTCTACCAAGGCTGATATGTAGAGCCTGTCCTCCCTGCTACTGGAAACTGAATCTCACATGAGACCCTTTGCTTCTGCCTTATACACCTCTCTAGTACTGGGATTGAAGGTGTGAGCTCTGTTGCTCTTTTAGGCTGATTCACTCTTTTGTAGCCCAGGGTGGTCTGGGACTCACAGAGATCCACCTGCCTCTGTTTCCCGAGTCCTGGAATTAAAGGCGTGTGCCACCACTGCCAAGCTTCTATGGATAACTAGTGTGTCTTGCTTTGCATTGAGATCTTCAGTGGCTTTATTAGATCATAAATAATGTATCACCACAGTGCACTGTAAATTATACAGTTTCCTTTCAACGTTTATCCCAATCCCCCATAGTCAGATAGCTTATGCTAGATAAACTTGCTTACAGATAAATATTGTAAGCGCTAGAAAAATGTAAAGAAGATACTGGAGCATGAACAAACAGGTAGAACCTAAAGGAGGTGGTCACTCAGTAGAAAGGAAGGGCATGAAGGAAGTCTTTTGCTTTTGTTCTTTTAGCAATAGCATTTATTCTGAGAACACATATGCTAAATCCATACAGGAGTTTAAATTCCCATTGGTTGAGTAGAGGGCAGAATTCTGATCCATCATAATACAATGTCCAATGCTGTGTGACAAATGGTTGTTAGCAAAATGTACATTTGTTTGTTTGTTTGCTTGCTTGTTTTTACCTTGTTTCTATAGGTCATAAGCCCAGCACTGATTAGTTTGGTCTTTCCCTTAGAGTCTCATCATACTGAAATCAAGATGCTGGATACCACTGAGACTCTTGAGGTTCAGGGTTACATCTAAGATCATTAGTGGTGGGCAGAATGCATTTTCTTATGCTCAGGAATGGCCCCAAATTTTAAGGGGATGCCTACAGCTGCCTGACATGGGTAGCTCACAGGATGGATGCTTAGTTTTATCCTGCTCAGTATGGGCTCATGTCACTGAGCTCCTCCCTCTGTGACCAGTTATAAATAATCGCTGCACCCAAGTGGGTAGGTCCTCACAGGACAACCTTTGTCTAGTAGATGCCAGAAGAAAATCATAGATGTAATGTCTCCTCATCTCCATGTGTTCTGTCCACTCTACTGGAATATATATATATATATATATATATATATATATATATATATATATATATATATATATATATTGTAAGAATCTTACAGGTCATTCTGGAATCTTGCATGTCACAAAGAGGAAGTGAGATCAAAGGAACTGTGGGGGAATTTTCCAGAATCCTGTGTGAAGTATCTAGATATCTTCATAAGCACCAAACTACACCAAACTACATGGACAATGCTCTGCCACCACATAAGGCCACAAAAAAAAAAAAAAAAAAAAAAAAAAAAAAAAAAAAGAGCCAAGGTCAAATTCACAGCTTATAAGGCCTCGTTCTGGATATTTTCTCACAGTACAGTTGTCTGACTTTTATGCTCAGCCTAGAGAAAACTGACACACTCTGTAGATTCAACTAATAAACTATATCCTTCTGGTGTTCAAGTGATTCCACAAAATAGCTTTCCATCTTTTACTAGATTTGTCTTCCTGGGTGAACACATATCGACACCACTAGCTAAAAGGTGTTTTGAAAGCGAGCGATGTTTTAGTCTTGCAGATTTAGCAGTGTCTACCAGATTGATTTGAGTTCACTTTTGCGAAGTCAAATGGTATCATTAAAATAAGAAGTTCATCTTCAACCGACCTACCTCCCTACTGCCAGAGCTACATGCAGTCCTGCTGACATCATTAAATTTGTCTTCTGTTAGTGCAGCTCCTCTGCTTGTGTAAAAGTACAATCCAGATGGCAGTCGAGTCCATCATTTCAGCGTGTACCTCAGATCAGGCAATGCTCCTCACGAAAGCTTGTAGTCATGCCCCATCTCATTTGCGTAAGTGAAAAACAAAGCCGCTGCATTCTCCTCTAAGCAGTCTGTCATGTGATATCTGGCCTACTCTTCCTGTTGCACAGCCATCAGGCCACACTGAGCCTACCTGGGGCTCATCGCATCCATCCAAAGCATTTGACCCGTGTGGCTGACCACACCCTCATGTGAAGTCTACCCCTCATGTGCAGTCATCCACACCACTCATTTGGGGTTCACTCCACCCTCATGTAAAGTTTACTACGCCCTCCCTTCTTGCAGGATCTACCCTTCCCATCATGTGAGGTTCACCACTTCTATAAAGCGGGGTTCGCCCCACTCTTGGGGAGTTTGCACTTGTTTTCCTCCACAGCAAGATTTCTGTGCCTTTGCTTTCTGTAGATTGCACTTAATTGAGAATTCTTCCCTGTCTGCGTATGTAGAGCCCTGGGGCTGGGTCTGTTGTGGCTTTTATTCCAGGGCATCGTTTACCATCAGGTGACCTGATACCTGTTTTCATGTTCACTTGCTTGCTGCTTATATCACACCATGAGACAGGGCGTCCCACCTACATCTCCATTCCCAACGTTGATCTGGGCCTTGGACTCTTAAATACTTACCGAGATTGTTATAGATCCAATATTTGAATCAATGATTTTATATTTTATTTTATTTATTTTGTTCTCAAACTGTTAGATACTTAAGACCTTCATTACAGTCTACTTCTACTTCTTTTTTTTTTTTTTCCTACCAAATGAATTCCGTTTAAGTGGCCCTTTTGAAGGGTGCTAATGTTTTATTGAGAAGACTAGGAAAGGCAGTATCATGGCAATCTTGACCATTTATTATACTTACAGCACCTCATCTGACTCTGCATGGTTGATAGATTTTTGTTTCTTTTATTTAATATAGGCGAAGCAGAAAGTATGAAAAATGAAGTAATTTATGAAAGGCATCAACACTGGTCAATAACAGCTGAATTCAGTGCTGGGCAGAGCTACGGTCTTGGTTTCCCTACATCCTCTCTTCCTAAATGGGGCTTCTAGGTCTGCGTGAGATGAGAGAGTTGCCCTGCAGGGGCCTGAGATGGACTTCAATATTGTAGCCGACATCAGAACCAACGTGTAAGCCTTGGGTTCACTCCCATCTGTGTGAATCTGACAGCTCATTAACGATGCCCAGGTTCTAATTCTTTGCCTCCTAGAAGATGAAGAATTGAACCAAATAAAAAATAAGATGAAAGTTTAGGCAAAAGTACTGCAAGAACCTAAGTTATATAGTTACCTATCAATGGGGTGCTCTGGATTTATGATCAAATATGTTAATAATTCACTGTAAGCACAAAACGTGGTTTCTCAGGGATACCACGGTGCTCTTTCAGAAGCAGCCACCTTCAGAAAGCTGAAGTCCAGGCGACAGACACCAGCACTCTCGTGGGCACCACATTCTGAGGGGTCTTGTACTCTGCTCTTTTTCTCAGGTGGATGGCTCCTATGCCTTGCCTTCATGTTGCCAGTGACAGCGGCCTGCCCTGCATCCTGTATGGTGTGCACACAAGATGTAATCCTGTGTCACCAGCTAACCTACATAGTAGGTAATAAGCTCTTCTCCACACAGCAGTAAGTGGTGTAGCCAGCTGACCCCTTGCTAGGCCTGTACTGTGCCTTTGCTAACTGCTCTGAGGTTGTCTAGAAGGATGCACCCTTGGAAGAAGCAGGCCTTCCCTTACTGGGGGACTTGTAAGTTTATTTTCTGTCCCTAGTGGTCACAACCAATAAGACATTAGTACCTTCAGGAACAAGTGAGATTTTTTTTTTTTTTTTTTATAACAAAATGACATCTGCACCTCATAAAGCTACACACTTAAAAAAGGAAGAGAAGAATTTAGATTACTGAGCGCGCTTTTGTACAGACTTTGTGTAGATTTGAACCTTACAGCCAACTGAAGGAAATGTAAATGATTCTGAATCCTGAACTGCAATTGTTCAGCATTCATAAGATTAACCAGTGTACCAGCAAAACCGATTATTATCAAAGCTCATCTCATTCTGAAAGTCTGGTCTCTCTCTCTCTCTCTCTCTCTCTCTCTCTCTCTCTCTCTCTTATCAGTGGTAAATGAGCTGTAGAAATGCTAACAAGAATGCTGCCTGTATTCATTACATATTGCTTGCTTAAGTCAACAATTTAATAAGACACCTTATTAACAAATTTGAGGAGAATGTGATTTACATCCTGATATTCAAGGAAGGGATAAACAAGCTATAAGCTCTGTCAGTGGAATATTTTCAAAAAATGAGCCAGGGTGAAGACCGAGTGGGGGAGGTAATTTCATTCATTCCTAAAACCCCAGGACTGTCTAGTAATCTGGAAGTAGACAGTATTATCCTGTTTGACGGGGGTGGGGAAGTTTCTGTATGTGAACTCTTCTGGCCAGAGCTGGAAGCGGACACTCCCATCCCTTGCCCTCTGCTTTGCGATGGATGTGCATGGAGGGCAGAGTTGGTAACCACGCCCTGCATCGATGCCCTTTCATGTGTCCTTAGACCCAGGACAGCACCCAGGTGGGGTCAGACTTCCTGAACACAAAGCCTGCCAGACAGGGACTGGATAGTGTTTATGTCTCCTTGCAGATGAGGAGTAATTGAGAGAGATCAGAGCTTTCCCAGTGGGAATCTGAAGTTCCCAAAGCACTGGGCACCCAACCAACAACTCCCCCAGCTCCTCTCAGACACAGTGGTGAGAGAGGCTGAATGCCAACCTGGCCAGAATTAATAGAATTAAAATAATCAACAACACACGCTTGAGAAAGTGCCCGCTGCAAGCTTCCCTTCCTGCCAGGAGAGAGGCAATCCCTCCAGAGAAGACCCCACCAAGCTGCCTTTGTCTTTTACATTTTCATCTCTTTGTTTCAACCTTGCATTCTGAATTTCCCAGGGGAGCCAGGATTTGCTCCCTCCGCGGTCCTTCAGACCTCCTGGGGACAATGGACTGCTTCCTTCTCGTGAGTCTGTTATGTGCTGTCAAAACAACGTTAGCATGATAAAGATGCCTGACAATAACTCCTGATTACAAAGCATCTTTATCGAGTTGAAATGCTTTGGTTTCCAATGACAGAACAGGATGGCTCAGAGGTGATTATGGGAAGGGATCTAACAGTTGGAAGCCCTGAGTACCACCTGTCATTGCAGGAAGGGCTTCATTGGAGGGAGATACCAGACAGGAGGCCAAGATGGCCTCTACTATAATGAGAACCCTGCTGACAGATCCATGGCTGTTTGCAGAGAGAGACTCTAGATCTGATCAAGTTGATATCTGATCATGCTAGAATGCAGAAAACAAAAAACAAAACAAAAAAAAAAAAAAACAAAAAAGAAAAAAAGAAAGGAAAACTGAGTTTCTCTCCACTCCCCACCCAGTCCACACCTTAATGTTGGAAGGTAAATAAATAACAAATAATCGACTTTCTAGAATAACTATCCATTGCTGACAGAAAGCTGGTTAAGGAGCAGTATCAGGCAGCTCTGGGGTTGGGGTTGGGGTGGAGTTAGATCTACTGTCAGGATTCAACCTCCAAGGGCGGCTTGAAAAGCTACCTTCAAACAACCTCAGTGTGGGTGAGACCCCAAACCAACTAAGTCCACATCCAGAGGAACAGAGGGCTTTGTGTTCCTTAAATGGGCGAGTTCCCTGGGGGGGGGGGGAGGGAAAACCCACCATTGTGTCTCAGCTGGTCCTTGTCGCTTTGCTCTTCCTCACCCAGGTGACGAATGTCTTCACCCTGTGCACACACCTGCCTTTAGCTTGTGCTTTTCCTCCACAGCGGCCCCCGAGACCACCAGGGTTCTGATCCTCACGGACGGACACCTCTCCTCCATAGAGAGCACCAACCTGACTCTCCTGGTTAACCTGGCCCTGCTCTCTCTGAGCAGAAATGCCATCTACAGAATTCAGGAAGGATCCCTGCACGGTCTCCCCAAGCTGAGGACCTTATCACTGGGCCACAACCACATTTCCAGCTCTTCTCTGTCCGACCACACCTTCAGCAAGCTGCGAAGCCTGCAGGTCCTGGTGCTCAGTAACAATGCCCTCCGCAGCGTGAGGGCAACCTGGTTCCGGAACACCAAGGTCCTGACCCGACTCCTGCTGGATGGAAATCAGATCACTAACCTCACGCAGAGTTCTTTTAGAGGCGCTAACCTCCCCAGACTCAGGCACCTGGACTTATCCAACAATTTCATTTCCTTCATCGAGAAGGATGCCTTTCGGCCCCTACCCCGGCTGCAGGAGGTGGACCTTTCTAGAAACATGCTGGCTCACATGCCGGATGCCTTTACTCCACTGACGCAGCTCAGCCTCCTGAGCTTGGAAGGCAATCAGTGGAGCTGCACCTGCGACCTCTACCCGCTGGCCCGCTTTTTAAGAAATTTCGTCAAGTCCCCGGCTCGCACACTCCTTAATACGAAGGAGCTAAACTGTCAGGTGTCTCCCCCAGCTGTGGCCGCTGCACAGAGCATGCTGAGGCTGTCCGAGGCCAACTGTGACTCCAAGGGTCACAACCTCACTCTGGCTCGAAAGGACAGGCGCGCCCTCCTCCCCGGGCAGGACGTGGCTCTGATGGCTGTGCTTGGCTTCGCAGGTAATGGAGGGACAGTAGCCCTCTTTGTTTTTTGGTGCGTGGGAGTCCTCTCTTCAGCAGCTGCGGAGGTTGAGAAAGATAGAGGTTGGTGAAGAGGTGTCAGCTGACCTGGTTAAGGAGAACCGTGCAAGGCACAGGGGCGGGAGAAGGAAGGACTCCGGTCGGGTGTGACTACTGGTACAGCCTGGAATAACTAACTTAACTTGTTACTTAGACTTGCTTTCATCATGACTGTGACACTGGACTAATTTATCTATTTCAGTAACCACTCACTACACAGCACTGGAGTATTTACTAGGTAGGGCCCTAGGAAACAGTAAAAAGACCCGGTGAGCTCCGTGAGCTGTAGAGCCTTTCCTTGGATCGCTCACATCTGTGCGCTTTTTCTCCCTGTAAAAGTTGCCACTGGGGACAGAAGAGAGAGCTCAGTGGGTAAAGACTCTTGTTCCCAAGTCTGATGGCTTGAAGGCTGCTGCAGGACCCGTGTATTGTAGAGAGACAACACCTTCCATTGTCCTCTGACCTCCATGTGAGTGAGTGTCCATGGGATACTCACCCAGCTCTCTCTCTCTCTCTCTCTCTCTCTCTCTCTCTCTCTCTTTCTCTCTCTCTCTCTTTGTGAATATGTATGTATGTGTGTCTCTCCATGTGTGCAAAATAAATACTTATAATTTTAAAACTCAACATTACACATGAGTATGGAATTTTCAAAGACTGAAGATGCTGTATTTAACTTTTCTACCAGTGGGCTTTTACAGAACAAGAAGGTATCAGCTGGACAGCTGCAGGCGTCTCACATACAGAGTCTGTTGGATGCATTCACCACCGAGTCCATGAGCACCGTGACTTTGCAGATTTGAACCCTGTCTCTCTCTGGAGAAGCTGTGTGACTTACAGCAAGCCACTATGCAAGATGTGCCTCTATTTTCTTTTTTTGCTGGAGGGCTTTGCATTCTTTGAGGACTTGTATTTTTCCATCTCATTCATACACTTGACCCAGGCCAACAAAAGGAGTAGACATCACTCAATGTTTAAGAGTAATGGAATTTAAAAATGCATTGGCTATCATGGCTTGCCAGATGAATGATATATTGCCATTAATTGAAATTTCTTGAGTTATTTATCTCTGTGTGTTTTAGAATGATCTCAGTGCATGAGGAAATATACACAGGGTGATGAGAAGCATGCCTGTCTGTGTCTCTTTGGGTATCTGTGTTTCTGACATGGGTGCCCACATGCACAAGTATTCCTCTGTGTGTCTGTGTGTTTTAAATTTTCTCCCTCCTCACTTTCCCCCCTCTCTTTCTCTCTCTGTGTTTATGTCTGTGACTGGGCGTGTGCACATCCCTCTGAGTGTGTCTGTGTATATATGTCTCTCTGTGTGTCTGTTATTATACACACACAGTACTGTAAATCTGGAGGGCAGAGGCTCATCAATTTTACACAAGACAGAGCAGTGGGTTCTTTGCTATGAACCATTATTTGAGAAGAGGTTCCAGGTGAATGAGTCGGGCAGCAGCTCTTTGATTCCAGTTGTATGTCTAATGAGAGCCAGTCAATTGTGACTACCCAGGAACCTTCAAACTCCCTCAAAAGGGAATCCAAACTTCCCACAAAACCAAATTCCTTTGACACCAGTGTAACAACATCAGTATCTAAAATTCAAAGAAATTATTTTCTACAAATGGCAGAAGCATCACAATAGCAGTAGATTTTCCTTTGATGTACTCAAGGACTCATTGGACAATTAACTGTTATTCCAGAGGAAACCCAGGCAGCTGCACAGCCAAGTCTCAGGGTTCATACACAGGATTAGAAAGTGCCAGGTCACATGGCATGAAGCATGTATGAAGTAGGCATTTTCATGGCAGCTTGGTGTGCAGCTTCCAAGTTTCCAGTGAGTGTTCTCAACCTTAAAGAGAAAGGGATCCCGTGAACATTTGCCAAGCTTCTGACTATAATGAGTTTCAACACATCAGCTCCATAGGGCACCGCTTGGGAGATATCACAACACAGTATCCTTTTCAACTATTTTTAGAACCAGACACTTAGAAATGTGTTTTGTGAGGGAACAGCTCTTTATCTGTATAGATGGGCACAAGATTCCAAAATCTTGTTAAAGTAACAGGAAGCTTAAAATATATGGGTCAGTTCTGGCACAGAAGCCCCAAAGATTCTCAAGAAAGGTGTCTAAACAGAATTTGGGGGTCCCCTACCTCCGACCGCCACTAATACTGGATCACTGGCATATGCCTGTGTTTCCATGGGTTCTGGGGACCTGACCTGCAGTTCTCAGACCTGCACAGCAGGGGTTTTATCCAAAGAACCAGGGCCCAAATCCAGTTGGAGGATCTTTTTGCCAGAAATTTCAATTCCCTTTAATCTTTGTAGATGATAATGTTGCCTGACGCCTCCTTGTCTTTCATGTTCAAAGGGATGTGCTCATTAATGGTGTCATTGTGATGGCAGTGAGGTACTTGCAGCCAGCTGCTTAGTCCCAGACACAGCCCTTTTTTCAGAGTGAGGAGCTGGCTTGTTCAAAGTCACACAGCGAGAGGCGGCCTCTGCACAGCCAAGGCTGGTGCCTTTCACATCACCAGTCACCACGGTGGTTTTATCGTCAGACTGACACACAGTGTTCCCTCTTCAGAATGATGAGCATTCCGTCGTGGCAGTACCCTTCTTGTGCCCGAGCTTTAGGCTTTGGGGTTGGGTAGGATGGTGAAAAAATTACTGAAAATTCCTGTTTCTACTCTGGAAGAGGCGCACAAATAACAGGCAAGTGAAGGCAGTGTGGACACCCAGGCCCACAATGTAAAAATCAAAGGAGGTATGCGTGGGTGGCAGTTGGGGTATATGACTCTGAGACGGACTCAGGTATCTTAAGTGGCTGGGAATGCCTTTTGTCAAAGTGGGAGACTTGATGTAGGGATGAGAAGGATTTCCCTGAGCTTGGCGATGTGGGTCTCTTTCAGTTTTACTCGGGGTGGGGGCAGGGAGTTCAATCTACACCTACGGAACACACAAAGTGACAATGCCAGGCTCTCTAAAACTCTAAAACTACACATCATCCTTCGTGGTTCATGGGAAACAGGATCTTTTTATAAGATGATATAAAACAAACAGATATAAAGCATCCCTTTGCCAGGTTTTGGGGGGGGGGACAACCAAACAAAATCCAGAACAATGGTGAGAAATTTGGAGGAACTGATTTGAATTTTAAAGAACAATTAAATCAAATAAACAGAGGGAGAAGATGCCCTTAGAGTAACAGTGAATGCAGCAAAGGCTGAGGTGGTCCTTGAGACAAGTGAATGTGGAAATGTCAAGCTTGGAGGATGGATAGGGAGAAATTCCGGTATGGGAGGAGTGTGAGCTTTCTGCTGGCTCGATGCCACTGGTGATGGGTCTTCAGGACTGGGTGAAATAAGCCACAGGCATGAGGGGTCAACTTGTCATTGAAGATTAGGGTCTTGATATGTTCAGGGTGTCTAGAAGCTGTTATCTTCTTTTATTATTTATGACTATGCAAAAAGTAAGCAGAATTAAAATGTCTTTTCTGTAAGCTCATGATTATCCTTTTGTGTTGAATGAATACATTGCAGTCCTTGACAGAGCTTTGTTTCCTACCTAAGGGACTCCAGGTGATGTTACAATTGTTTTAAGTAATGTCTTGTATACGTGTGTGCTGTGGTGTAAGCCTGTCATGTGTGTACCGCTGTGTGGCATGGAGGTCAGAGGAGGCTGGGGTGTAGTTCTCTATCAGCCTCCACTGTGTTCCCTTGAGACAGGGTCTCTCACTGAACATAGAGATAGGCTGGCAGCCAGCAAGCCATGGTCTCTGCATCTGTGACATAGCTCTGGTGTTACAGTGCACATGTGGCCACACCCAGAATTTCTCTGGCATGCTGGGGATTTGAACTCAGGTCCCAGTGTTTGTGCAAAGAGCACTCTTAGTCAGGGAACGACCTCTCTGACCCTATAATTCTTAATATACAAACTGAAAAGCAGAATGAAGCCGACTGGAACAGCCTCTGTTTGACCCAATGGTTTTCCTGGTGATAAATGGCTCCTATGCCTTCATGTGTGTGAGTCACATTTCCTCCATGTCGCTCTTTTAACGGTCTTTCCGTTTGTCACAGGAGCCGTTGGTCTCACGTGCGCAGGGTTAGTCATATTTAACTGGAAACTCCAACAAGGCAGAGCAAATGAGCGCGCATCCAAAAGCCTTTGTTGCAGAGCCCTCAATGAATCCCCGTGTGCGCATGAAGAAAGAAATCACTGTGCTGTGGGGTGCTGTAACTGCCACCTAACTCGGGAAAACGAGACAGAGGCCATGTCCTCCATGTCCTACGTGGGCTTCAGAAAGGAAATACCACTTGGACAGGAGAACAGCCGCCAAGCAATTCTGGCTTCCAAGCCCACAGCCCCGGATGCATCCTTCAGAGAGCAGAGAGGGAGAGACCAAGGTACAGACAGTGTTTATTGTTTCAGGGGTGATGCATGGCTACAGGCGAGATGCTTGGGGCCTCCTGGGAACAAGAAAGCTCTTTATGATGCAAGCTTAGTTACAAGATGTCCAAAGACAGCCAAAAAGCTAAGCAACCTGAAACATGAAGTCCAGTCTCAAATCCCACCAGGACGCAAAACAAGAAAAACAGGTGAGTTTGTCTGTTAGAAAATCCCACTGTGCTTAGTTTCTCAGAAGGAGGAAACTTTTTTTCAATTTCTCCAGCAAAGAAGTGCTATAAAATTCACCATAGTCTTTTTCTTCTTTCTCTGAAGATATAAAGATATACTGGGTGTTTTGTGTGTGTGTGTGTGTGTGTGTGTGTGTGTGTGTGTGTGTGTGTGTGTGTGAGCGTGTCAGTCGGTATGTCTCTGTAAGTAGGAGCATGGTTTCTGTGCATGTAGGATGTAGGGTGTGTGAATCTCTTTGAGTCTGTATCATTGTGCATCTGGGTGAGCTACAGATGCTGCCTCCACAGCCTCTGGAACTGAGCATGCCTCCCCTACCTGGAAAGTGAATTTTGAGACCCAACACCTAAGGATGCTTTAAAAAGGAAAGAGATGAAGCCTCTTCAATGGTAGCACTGATAAGATTTATGAGAGGGTGGTACCAGCTTCCATCCCAACGTCCTCTGAGTTCTGACGCCAATCTGTGGCAAACAGCCTTCCCAAAGCATAGCATCTGAGAGGAACAGCCTCTTAATGCCAGCGATTCATTTCAGGAACGATGTCAAGAGCACACTCTTCCTGCTGAGCTGTCAATGACGATGACTTCTCAGTTCTGGGAATGTCAGGTCTTAACTCATTTTCCCATGTTGGGAGCACAGTGAACCTGGCCATGACACCTACCAGCCATCCAAGGGAAGTGCCTGTACCTGTGTGGAGGCAATGAATCAAGTGCCTTCCTTTTCTTCCTGAATTCTGGGGCAATGCTTTCCAGCCCTGCAGTGCAAACTCACACAGCTGCTCAGGAAGGAGGCTCTGCCATGTATTTCAACTGGTTTGGAAGAGGCAAGGTTTTCTGTTGGAAACTGAGTGACAGAAGAGCCTTGTGATGCACTCACTGTGGGGATCTGGCCCCAAGGCTGGATTTGGGCACCACAGGATAAGAATGAAGCTGTATTTTATTTCCTATGTGGCATAAGGCAGGAAGCGAGTTTATCTGACTGCATTTCTTGCTGGTTCCTGGGGGCTGATGGTTTGATTCCAGGCAAAGATGTCCAAGAAAAAAAAAAAACTGCCACAGAAATCAGAAAAAAATTGGTTTTACTTTATAAGAAATAAGGGCTTAGCCTTTCATTTCCTGTTAGCTTTTAGCAGTGTCCAAAGCCTTGCATTTTCTGTCTTTTGGGAAGTTCTGCACACAAGGGTATGTAGCTGGGTAGCCTGCTATAGCATTGGCTCTTTGCTTCCCATGGGGACAATGGTCTGTCAGGTCACTGGTGACCTTGAGGAGACAACTCAGGAAAACAGTCAAGGCCAAACTTGGTCCTGAAGAAAAGTCTGAGTTTAAGCCTGCAGCACAGGACTTCAGAACAGACTCCCGGGGGTAGAGAAGGTGCTAGAAATCATCTAGTTGAATAGTTCTTTCTGTTTATCTTCAGTTTCCAGAATTTTCTGAAAAAAACCTGATAAAGACCTGAACAATCTTTACTCTCACCTAAGCTTCCCATTTAATCCAGCCTTCTCGGAAGGCGGCTTCCAAACATTCACCCACAAGGTTGGAGGTAGGCCTTAGGGTTTGGTAACTGTCTATCCCAAGATTTATTTTACCCCTTTCTTTGACTTAATAAATGGAAGCTTTCCCTTCCCTTTTCTCTAAATAAAACGATTTCATAAAATAATCAGAAGTAGGCTTGTGAGGCATGACTCTATTCATTGTGGATAAAAGTTAGATAGACTGGTCCAAATCCTGCTGTGTAACTTGAGAGAAGTATCAAACATTAAAAGTCCTAAGAGAACAGCTCTTCTGCGATGGACCATGCCTTTTGTGACTATCAAATGAGGTAACTAATGTATAATATTTAGCACATTGACTAATTCTTCCTATGAACACAAATAATATTAGGTTTTCATTGATAGTATTGAATATGTATTATTAATAATATATTTGCCTAACCATTTATAAGTCATAGGCAGATATTGCTACCAAGAAATATACCAAGTCATCTATTTATTAATAAGTCATTAGTGGATACAGTATTACATTTCAGGAAGTGAAAGAAGAGATGGCCCTCTGCCTTCATTAAGGCAACAAGTATCTCATTTTTGCTGTCTGGGTTACTCTGTCTGAGACCTGAAAATTACTCAATATTTCATATACATTTTCCAAATTTGTATTCTAAAATGGAAAATTAAAAGCAAAGACTTCCTATGCTGTTTGAAGAGAATTCAGATGTCATTCTAAAGCTGACATAACCATGAGTAAATCTGAATATGAGTTAATATGAATGTCATTTAAATCCTAATGCCACAGCATCACACTTGACTGACAGGTTACTTCACCAAATACCATTGCTAACACACTAAATAGCCAAAGGTCCTCTTTGATGTTTGCAGAAAATGAGGAAACACTCAGTCAGTGATTATGATAACTAAAGGAATCATCTCACAATTTTCATAAGGTTTTTAGGCCTCAGGTTGGTTGGGATACTGCAACTATGTCCAGTGATAAATTCCTGCCTTTATTCTGTTCAGCAGATGTGAGCACACTTAGGAGCAGATATGTGACATCCACCCCAGCTTTGGCAAGAGAGAGTCTTGGGAAGCATTTAACAGACAAATCATGGCAGCCCCCAACAGGAAATGGAGACAGTGCTACTCAGCCACCTGGACCAAGACTTTTCATCAGCAGCTCAACCTCAAAGCCGTGGGAGCCAGAGAAATGTGCCATGGGCAGGATCTCCCACAGACATAGAGTGAATGATGATCACCATGGCCTCTTAAAGCAGCACAAGACTGTGGATTTTCAACCCAACAAGTCCTTTACCTGCAAATATGTGTCCTGGGATGAATTGCAAAGTTATGTAGAGGAGAGGAAGCCAGGTCGAAGAAAGCGCACACAATCTGAGAAAGAGCAGATCCAGATTAAGAGAGCAATAGAAAAATTCCTCAGGAGCCAGAGGAACAGGGACAAATCCAAGTGGTCAGCAAAAATCAAGAAGTCATCTTCTACAAAGAGTGTTAAATTCCATGATCCTGATTTAGTTGGGGGAAACAGCTTGGTGGTATCAGCAGAAGCACCAGCCTCTGAGAGACAGCTAGAGAGTGAAAGCTACTGCCCGGATTCCTTGGATCTCAAAACCTGTACTAGTCTGGAGGAAGTCAAGGATTCAAGAGAATGGCTTTCAGAGCAACAGGCTCTGAAAAAGGAGAGACTCCAGCAGTCCCATTCCAGTGAGAAAATGAAGGGACAGAACTTAAGAATGAAGTTGGATCTGCACCCCTTTGGAAAAGCTAGGGTTCACCCAGAGGATTCCCCAAAAGAACTCCCCAAGAGACAAAAACAAACAGGCTTACTTCCTATGAAAACAGCCAGAATTTTTGAGAGAAAATTCAAAGCAACACCCATGTCCTTTGTCACCTCTCAGCTGCCAGACAGCAGCAACCAGGGTAAACTCACTTTTTCAAAGGTACCACTGGAAAGTGTCCCACAGCAAACCCCTTACCAGAAAAGAAATGGCCTCCACAGAGCTGACAGCTTGCCTGTAGGCAATCTGGGCTCTGTGCAAAGTGGCTGCAGCCCAGCGGGCCACATTCCATGTGGAAGCTGGTCAACAGAGCCTCAGTCTACAGCCAGAGTTGCTGAGTACCAGTGCTTACACCCTCTCTTTGTGCCTGCACAAGTGGAAAATGCCACCACTCAGCTACAGACAGAAGCTATGCGTCCCTCCCCAGCCCATTTGGGAAATACAGAGAACAGTGTTTTACCATCTCAACCTTTTATGGGAGATATTGACCAAGCGGTAATTGTGTCTGCTCAATACATGGACCAGGACAAGTTAAAGACCAATGAGCTAAACAGTTTTAGTCTGTCCCTCGGTAACCAGGTGATTGACACCTGCAACAGGGATCACAGTTTAGGTGATAACCAAGCTTTGCAGCAGGAAGAGCAAAAACTAAACCATGAACAGCTTGAGAGAGAAGGAAAACCATTAGTGAATAAATCGAAAATGCCACATGAAAGCGTGGGAAGTTGCATTACGGATGGGGAAGGAATTGATGGAGGAAGCGAGATTTCTTGCACAGAGGATTGTGAACCCCCTCCCACTGTCTGGATGCAATCCCATAATAACCTCCCATTCATGCTGCCACATTCTTTCCCACACCCAAAAAGAACGGAACTTCTCAAGGAGAGCTGCTCTGCTCCCCACAGGAGCCACGCCCTTGGCCACTTACATGGCAGCATCGAGGGCGGAACTTACCCTAAGGGTTCATCACTGGGAGATAATCACAGAGAAGCACCTGGAATGTCAGGGGTGGGAGACCCAAAGAAAGCACTCGAAGAAAGGGAGGCGGTAAGCTGGATGGTACAAATGGGGGCCAGAGATGAAAGGCAGCAGCTGTGGGAAGGTGAGGGGAAGGAGAAACTTGTGCTGTGCTATCCCGGCTCTGACAAGGAGACAGTTTCCAAAGTCAAAACCAGCATGCTGGGGAGTGAGGCAGACCCTCACACTCTCAACCATCAGTCTCATTGTGGAGACCCTGGAGGTAACCAACCAGATGCCAGTGCACACAGGGACGATGCTGTGGCAGGGGGCATGCCAGGAACTTCTGACCACTCACGGGAGTTGAGTACCACTCATTCTGAGGCAGAAAACGGGGTGCCTCTAATTCCTAACGGAACTGCAAAGGCTGCTTGCAAACCGGCATTGCACCCACGGTCTACTGGGGACTCTAATCCACCACTTTCAGAAGCAGAGAGTCAGAGGCAGGAAACTGCATAACATCCATTTCCTGTTTAGGCTACCTTCTGAAGGATCGGAAATACCCCTACCCTTTGTGTATGCTGAGCATGCACAGTTCAGGGCATACATTCCATGCACTGCTCAGGGCATACATTCTCAGTAATTCTTCATTTCCCGTGAAATAGAAGCTCATAGTCAGCTACAGCACAAAAATGGAAGATGGAGAGTGTTCCCTACCATTGAGTGAACAGGCTCCTTCAAGGAATGGGACCGTGGAAACCTTTGCCTAGTCTTGGAAAATCAACCAAAGATTTCAAAAGCCTCAAACGAATGAAAGCTGCAGTATGAAAAGGACATTTTGCATTTGATGTATTTTTTATGGAAATTGTTATGCACGTCTCCATTAGTGCTATTACAACTTTGCTTTCTATACCGATGATTATATATTCATGTGTGCCTGATCTGTTTTCCTAATTAGGTGTAATGAAAATTCAGCCATGTTTGTTAATTATACTGCATAGTGGTAAATTTTACCCATTTGCAATTTCCTTGTCAATAATTTTCTCAGATCTTAAGTAGGAGTCTTTAAAAACTTGCTATTGCTCTAAGAGAAAACTATGGAGGACTTCCAAGTCAACTGCAAATTTGAAAGATCCTGTAAGCCCAGAAGAGGGCGAGCTCAGCCTCCTTCCTTTCAGAAGGGCAAACAGGTTTCAAAAGCAACACAATGGCTCAAGAACAAAAGGAATTTTAACGAGCCTTATTGCCAATTGTTATTAATATAAGGCTTTGAAAACCAAATAACCCATTAACATGAGTCTTTGGAGGCTTGATCTCTCCAGATGAGCTCGCCACTGCTGTTTGCTGAGAGCAGCCCTCCTTGCACACAGGAACCAGGCGTGCTTATAAATAGTGAACTTAAAAACAATGGCAAATACACCTTGTACATGGAAAGTCATATTTACCTGAAAACTACAGGGCTAGTTAGGCAATTTATATCGTTACCCAGTAAGGTGTTCAACCTATGCATTCACAGAGCAGAAGACTACATACTTCACATTGCCTAGTGGGGAGGGAGAAGATTAAGCAGAAGCAAGTGTTCTCTTTCCTATCTTTGTATGCATCCCAGCTCCTATGTCCTCTTAGCTATATTTGATATTTATAATAAGCTTAACAGATTGCTCGGACATTGCAAACACTGTTTGGTGCCCTACTTCTATTTTCTGTGTGTCCCTGACAGCAAATGATGAACTGTTCTCATTTTGAAAATCCTTCGCCCCCTTCCTCTGTCTTACGGAGAGTCAGACATCTCTGGCTCAGTTTTCATCCTGTGCATTTTCATTTGGCTTCTCTACCTGGGCTTCACTCCCATCGCACCCTCCTGTCTCTCCTGAAATCACTTCACTGTGGGAAAGCACCTCTGCGGTGAGGAGAGTATCTGCCTTCCTATACGGTGGGCTTCCTCGGTTCTGACTGACAGATGGGGTGATGGTTTTGCTTTTCTTTCATTTTCCAAATGTTAGCTTTGTTCTCTCTCCTTGTTGCCACCAGTATGCCAGCTGTGTAGGGGCTGAGCCTCCTCTTCCTCACTGGCTGCCTCTCAGAAGGCAGCAGAGTTGTCCCCTGTACACACAGGACCTCTCTTCCTTAGAGTTCTTCCTTTGCAATAGATCTCAGGCTTAGGTTGGTCCTCTGAGTCCCCATGGCAACCGTACAAATGCCTGTTATAATCAACTAGATCACAGAGCCAGCAGCCCCTGAGCTGTTCTGACCTCAGAATGTTTCTACAGTTCTCATGCTTTAGTTTTGTCTCTACCGGGCATGTATGTGCTGCCAGGGTGCAAATTCAGGTTTCATCCCAGGGAAGCTCTCTCTGCAGGTAGAGGATGAGGCCCACACCAGGTAGAGTGAGGAGTACACAGTCAAAGATGACTCGAAAATTATTTCATGATCAGTGTTACAAGCAAAGATTTCAGTAAACGATGAGAAATCCCTTATACCTAACAAATATATTGCTAAGAGTCATTTATGTTATGTAAGTTTTTCTTTTACCACTCTAGAGACAAAGTTAAAATTGTCTACAATGCCATGCATAAAATCGTATTGTAGTTTCTGAGACTTTTCAATGTCTGATATTATCTATAAAGTCAGCCTGGTGTACATAGTAAGTTCCAGGACACCCATTATTATACAGACCCTGCCTTTAAAAACAGAACAACAACAACAACAACAAAAAACCAACATACTTCCTTGTTTTATGTTACTGCCTGGAAATGCCTTAGTCTATCTAGACACTTAAGCCAGTAAGTACTGCATGCAGTCTTTGGGGTGTTGGGGCTTTGAACTGTTTTACTAGTTTTGAGAGTGTCTGGGGTGATGTGGAAGAAGTTTCAGAGGGGCAGGGGGAGTGGAAATGATGTGGATTCAGTACACATGTGTGAAATTCTCAGAAATGAGTGTGAAAATGATGAAATGGACAGGGAAACTTGGTATTAGTCTTTCACATCCAAGTATCTTTTATCAAATGGTACCTGGCCTAGGGGGTTATCCTGTAGTGGCTTCAGTGTTGTCAAAACTAGCACACACTTCACTTCTTTACTCACAGTACATTTGCCCATTTTCTCTTTGCTTGAGTGATTTTATTCCCCCACCAGTTCCTTATTCAGTGAGTGCTTGCCTTTGGATTTTAATCTCTTCCAAAGTGTCACTTCTGGAAATACTTTCATGACCCACACTATCTCTCTGTCCGCCAACTTTCTGTAGTTGATTTGGCATGCATTTTCATGAAGTCTTGTCTTCCCCTCAGCACCATGGACAGCCTCCCCCTATTGACTCCCTAGCCCACTCACAGGCCAAAGTGAAGTAGGAGCTGGATAAATTACTTGCTAAAGGAAATAAAAAATTAGACTCTTGGCCCCTGATTCCCATCACCTTGCCACTCACCCTATGATGATAAGTTAATGACATTTCTGGACACTGTAAAGACAACGGAAAGGCCAGGATATCCTAGTCATGAGGTAGATGCCAAGGTCAAGGTAGGACTTAGTTGAGTGAAAGCCCAATATTACTAGAAACTTGGTGTATCTTTCTTCCTGAACCTACAGACTGTATCCTGTGCTGATAAAATTCACTCCTCAGTAACACAACTTTCACACTAAAACAATCCCCCCTCACATACACAAAGCAAATAGATCACATTATTGATATTTCATATGAAAACTTGGCACAACTCTCTTCCTACAGAAGGAAGGGAACTTTGGATAAGGGATTCTGCACATTCATCTCCAGATAATGCTCTCAAGGTTCACACTGCAAGACCAGGAAATGTCTCCTCAAACTATTTTAAGTCATGCAATCTTCAATATAAAACTTCCCAGACATCCAGACCTAGACACTGAATAGGATGTACCAGCAAGAAGCATTTGTTTGTTTATTCCCCAGATTATATGTTTTTGAGCATTTATAATGTGTGGTTATGAGTGCTGGGGTTATGATAATGAACAAAACAAAGCTGAACAAACAAAACAAACTCTGCTCTCATGGTGTCAATCCTTCCAGTCATGAGATGATTCTAAATTCAATACAACACACACCAGATTGAATGGCAGAAGGAAACCATATCCTGTGAGAACTTTCACTTTTCTTCTAAAAGCTTCTATGGACACATGGGTTGGGTTGGGCAATGACTTGATTTGGGTGTTGCCTTAAAAAAAAGAAAAGAAAGAAGAGGGCAAATCATACCTTTTCTTTCAGATGTCTACAGTGGGGCTCTTACTCTATCTGTCCTTTGGGTGTACATTCTGAAATATCAATAGCCTCACTTTGCTTTCTGGGGGAGAGTTTTAGGGAGAATGGAGAATCAAGGCTGTTGAAGAAAAGATAAGAACAATGTGAACCATGTCCTGAACAGTGGGATTCTTCCGGCATTTACATATGAGAAGCTCTGCCCCCCTCTCAGGGAGACCTATGATGTCCTGACCAGGTTTGAGCACAAGAGAGGAAAACAACAGTAGAGAGATCTGTAGGCACTATTGTTCCCTGTGCAAGAGAGAGAGTGCAGAGTCACCCTGCCCTCTGAGGATATAACAATTGCTACTGTATTCAGGCAGCTGTTGAAGACCTCATTCCCTGGGGTCTGCTGCAGGCTTGCTTCATCACCCGAAAAGCCAGCTCCAGTCCATCTTGTGCCAAAGTGTTTTCTCCAGAAAAGCACTAGGTGTGGCTCATGCTAATCAAATTGCAGCTGACAGAGCTGTGTGTCATCTCTCAAACCCAGGAAGTTGTTTCTCTAGAAAAGGATTCACTGCAGCTAAAGCCAATGAAACTGATAAGCCTGCATTTCACCTCTCAAACACAGATCTCTCTTTTCCTTATCTGCTGTGAGTAACATCTCAAAACCAGACTGTATCAAGGAAAAAATCCCAACTGTTCCAGCTTCCTGGGGTCATTAGAGACACAGGAAGCCAGCCAGTCTTCCCACCATGTTGTTCTGACACACACTCGGAATGGGTGTTGGAACCATAGACTGTGATGGGCATTGAAACATCAAAAGTTTTATAAAAGTAAACAAAGTCACTCACTTCAGGACATGCATTCCAGCCCCGCATCAGCAGTGATGAGATGGGCTTGGGGATGGAGTAGCCAATGGGAGGTCGGATGTGGTGGTATGCCATGTCTGCTGCTGCAGCCGCTGCAAAACAAGGTTGGAAGTTCACTGATTTATTCCAGAGACAAGACTCATCCAAAGGCAACGTGCATGGGATTTGACAGGACCTTTAAGCTCACTTTCTCCCTGACCTATGAAGAAGAGAAGGTAACTTATACTAAGTTTATCTTTATTATTTCCCATCCATTTGATAGTTGGGTTCACATAGTGTGCAGAGGGAATTCTTGGAGGAGCAAGGGAGAGCCCTTCAGGATGCCTTAAGTATACAGATGCACACAACATTATAGGATAGAAACTGGAGCCCAGTATCGTGGATAAATAAGAATCTGGGAAAATGGATAGGCTGATGGATGTTTATTTGGGGAGAAATCACTTACACCAGAAACAGATGAGTGCTAGCATGTTCCTGTCCCAAGGATGCCTTCAGATGCTCTCTGTCTCTGACTAGGAAAGCAAGAGAGAACACGGGGGTCTTGGACCCCAGACCTAGTTCCCCCAAGTCACACCTGCACCTGTCCCCATGCCCCAATGGGCATGGTCAGTTCAACAGGTGTGGGTGGGGTGGATATCTTACTACAGCCCAGATGAGACAAAACTTCATAGTGTCAGGTCTGCAAGATGGCTCAGTGGCTAAAGGTGATTGCCACCAGTCCTGACAATCCGAGCTTGATTCCTGAGACAAATGGGGTGGAAAGAGAGAACTGCCTCTTGCAAGCTGTCCTCTGACCTCCATGTGTACTTCATCACATGCTCATAGGCACATTTACTTACATAAACAAGTAAGTGTAGTAACAGTTTTCAAGACTTCATGATGTCATAAATGCAAGGTTAATGCACTATGATATGCACCACAATGCGTGGATTACACTGGTCTTCATAAAACTGGAGACATCTGTTTTGACATACGTATGTGTGTGTATGTGTTGTGTGTTTAATTTTTGTTGTTTTGTTTTTCAAGATAGGGTTTCTTTTCATAGCCCTGGCTGTCCTGGAACTCACTCTGTACAGTTATTTAACACAGGTAATAATGTCCGAGTGTGGAACAAGTTTGTAACTCTTACCCTTTACATAGTAGTTCATAGTTGGTATGATCTTTTATTCCAGAGTCCATCCTATTTTCAACACACACAATAATGAAACTGATAACACAAGGTGCTCTGTTTGAGGCTTAAAAGTGTTCTGTTCCAGAGGGAGGAGAGACTTCCTAGTTGATCTACACCCTGGCTTTATGGTAATGTAGCATTGGCTTGTATCTTACTGGTTTTGAGACATAATTCCCAACAATGACATCTACACTAAAGTCTACAAACCACTGAATTCTGTTTATTCATCTAACTCCAGTAGATCCAGTGAAGTTACACTCAAAGTAACATAAATCAATTGCTTTTTGGATTGTTCTGAACCAAGACCTAATTTTACCAATTATAAAATGAATATTCTTAGTAGAAATTGAAGTTAATAGAATTACAAAATATAAAATATATAAAATGTTATTATTTAGGGGAAACTATTCTAATCATATAATGAGTTAAATTGACTGAAGTAACTTCACACCAAAATTTTTAAATTTTTCTTTTCATTTTAGCTTCTGATATCAATTACAGAGAGCAATTGTCTGATTTTTTGCTGTGAGTCTAGAAAATCAATTACAGGTGAATCATCTTTGTCAAAATATTTGTTAAAATATTTTGAGATTTTCACCTCTTTTCCATCTGTGATTGAGCCTATGTTGACATATGATTATGTAGTTCCTTTTTTGTAAATTAAAACATTAAGCAATTAAGCATTTTCCATGTTATTAAAACTATGTGTTAACATATTTTAATGACTGCGTTTACTGTGATTTACTTAATTACTTCTCAATTTTAGGTTATTTGAAATTATTCAAAGAATATTTCTAATGGGAATTTCTGTATATTATAGACTAGACATTTATGGTATATTAAGGGGTGAAAATAACGTGTCAAATGACATGAATACATTTGAGACTAGCTCATATTAAAGGAAGATACTTTCTAAATAGTTGTATTAACTCATGGTCTCACCAGTGAGTGTAAATATTGTTATCACCACCACTGTACCAGGGAAAAGTCTTTTCGCCAGGCAGCTGCATGGCTCCTTGTTAAGACTATTTCTCGGTTATCCCAGCATCTTTCTTGGCTCACGAGGTAGGGTCCTGCTATCCTTTGTTGGCTATTCTGGGCCATGTTTCCGTTCCTCCAAGGATCAGATAATTCGCGGCCACGAAATCAACAGATTCTTACTTCACTCTAATTCTATGGCTGCAACCTGTTCCCTGATGACTGTGTAATGCTGACCCAGCTCCAGCACCTGCACAGAGATCAGTCCAGTGTGCATGAGCAGGTGTCTTGGTGGGTGGAGAGGGACCATCCTCAGAACATGTTAAACTGATGCCTGTCCCCTGTGCCTCCTTTAGAAGTTCTTTCTTACTCTGAGGTCAAACAGGAGAATAATTCATTTGTTTCTTGCCCGTGCATCTGAAAATTCCATTTTGATGTGTGGTTCTTGACTCTTCACATTTGAAAGAGATTCTGCAAGCTTTTGGAGTCCCCTCTGCTCTACTCTTGGTCGAGGGGTACTCACTGTCATCTCCACTTGAATATCGGCTTTGTTACTCCACAGGTGTGCTGGAACCTCAAGTTGCCACTTTCAGATGGTTGGCCAGGCTGTTCTGACAGCTGGGAAATCTGGTGCTCAGATCCAGGAAGATGACTATCAGCCCATTCATCAAGTATGTGTTTTATTGTTACAGCACAAAGTAGGTTAAATGATTTATGAAAATGTTGGTTTCTGCTTTCAAAAACAGAATATTACCATCTAAAGAGACCAAGTCCAAATTTAAGAACCAAACAACAATTAATAGTGCCATAATTTTTAAAGTTCTATCTTGAGTAAATGAATTTATTGAACTATAATTAGCTTTCACTGTAAGGAACTGCCTCCCAGACCTCTCTGCAGTGATGGGATGTCCTTCTGTAGTGTATAGTGTGTAAGCACTAGACTGTTGGGTACTTATAATGTGGAAATGTGGCTCAGAAACTGAAATTTTTAATTTGGAGTTTCAATTAATACAGTTTTTAAATAGCCATGCTCAGTGGTTTCTATATTGAACAGCAATGTTCTAGAATATTGTTTTTCTGACTCACACTATCTTGAGTAATGAGATTTAAACATAATATGATAGGTCAGCCCTTAGAGTCTCTTCTACCAAAGAGCCAATTAAAGGCCTCAAATTGTTTTATGTCTATTAAGACCTGCTCAAGATAGAGAAGACCCGGATGTAGTGCATCAGTGTCATCTCTGAAATCAAGTCATATGCAAACAATGACAACTCTCTTGTACAATTCCTTTATCAAAAAGGACTTATGGGCTCTGTTAAGAGCATTCAGCTGGTAAAGTTCTTGCCACACAAGCCTGGTGATGAGTTCAAATGCCAGAACCCACAATGGAAAGACAAAACTGACTCCAGGAAGTCCTCTGTCTTCTTCCCCTCTGTGGAACCTGTTGTTTTGGATGTTGGCAGTGATGCTCTCTGTCTTGGCTTCTTCCCAAACACTCCCACAGCATCTCACACTACAGCGACACCTACTGAATCACATTTGTTGCCTAGTTATGTTTCTGCCTCTGTGACACAATCACAAACTTCTTGAGGTCAGAGACTACATCTCCTCCTGGTGTGTCAGCAGTGTGTAGTGTAGTATCTGGCAAAGAGGAAGCATTAAAAAAGGCATGGAACATAAAGAGATGTGATGAGTCACATTGCCACCAGAAGTGTATAGTTCAGCTTTGCTGGACTCCTCGAGCAGAAGAAAGCCCAATGCCTAGCATCCAGAGTCATTGTGGGATGGGTATTCTGTCCCAGTGGGCTATTAAATCACAACACAGTCAAGTGAATTGTTGAGACCTGTGGCAAGGTCATCCAGTAATCTTTTCTCCAAAGCCTTTGGTGAAGGCTTCTGCAAACACGTGAAGAAATGCCCTTCATGGGGACCAGAGGCTAGACTCTGAGGCTGGCTTTGTTCTAAATGCCCCGGGAGGGCCAATTAAGCAGTTTGTCTCAGCAAGTAATAATTTAGCTAAGCATGAGTTTCAGCGGGAAGAGCCAGTTTGATGATGACAATTATGGGACCAGGGCCTTGACTGTGCCCTCACTACAATGTGACATCAACGCTTGTCCTAACAGAACCAAAAGCACAGGTTTTAGTCCTTGCTGACACATATCCAAAACGCACAGCACCATGCTGGCTGCCGATAAGTGTTAACAGCCACTGTTATTGATAACAACAAATCTAAGAGTTCAAGCAATCCTTTGTAATTGGAACCTAGAAGGCGGGATGTTAAAACACCACCGATCTCTTACTACTTTATTTAGATCAAGGCTTCCAACTGTCTTCTCTACATCAGTTCCAGCCTATGATGCAGCGCGGCCCTGTGGCAAGAGTGGCTCCACAGCTTTCCACAACAAAATGAATCATCTAGTCCTTATTTATGATCAATTATGTACTGGATTCTGAACTCCTGAAGTAACCCCTCACTGTCTTATTTTGTAAAATTAAAAAAAAAAAAATTCCTGTGGTAAGGAGAATAGCAGGTCTCTGGGGAAGGAGCTCTTATGTGAACACAGTGGACCTGAGTTCAGATCCCCAGTGCCACGTAAAAGCTATGCATAGTCACACACGCTTGCAATTCCAGGGTGGGGTGTGGCAGGGATGAGCAGATCTCAGGGATTTGCCTGTCACCTGATTTGCTCAAGATGGCGAGCTTCAGCTGCAGTGAGAGACTCTGTATCAAAACAAGATGGAGAATGCTCAAGGAAGACATGTATGCACACACACACACACACACAAACACACACACACTCACCATGCAACATATACACCCACCACATACCACGCACACATCACACACATACATGTACATACACATGCCACACAGATACCATATATATATATACACATCATATGCCACACACCCCCTCATACACACATGCATGCCACACACAT